GACCATTGCTCCTCCAAAAGCTCAACCTCCCAATGATATCTCGTTGCTTTGAGGAAGAGCAGCAAGAGCATCGTCGATCAAAGGTCCCACAGCGACTTAATTTTTCTTTGTAGAAATCCCTCAGTCAGACGTCCAAGCAAAATAAATTTGGTCAGGGCCTGGAAAATTTAGTGGGAGATTTCAAGTCTAAGCCCGACTTGTCTCCATCTAGAAAGAAACATCAAGGAAGAAACCAACTAATTTTCATTTTTAATATGATTCCCAACTAAAGAAGCAGGCAAGAAATTCATGAAAAGGATTTTGATTTAGTAGAAAACATAGATTAAGTAAGCAATAACAGAATATTAATTTGGGAGGGGGTTAGTGATGTTCATCTGCTCATGGTTTTTGTGGTTAGCATGTTAATCAGTTCAAGGTTTGGGAGTATAGAAGAGGCTTTTCAGTCTGTTTAAAAGCTCCAAAGCCCGCCCCCCCCCCCCCCAAAAAAAAAAAGAGAAGGCTAATTTCAGGTTTTGGATTAAGTTGTAGGTCATCTCTAAAGATTAGATTAATGTGTTGGCTCTAAGTAAAGCGTAAATTTTCAATTGAGCACCTAGTTTTGTTGTATGTGTATTTTGTGGTTACAACTTGCGTTACTGGTCATAGCCCTTACCATTTTACATGATGCTCAATTTATATCTATTTTGCCATTTTCACTTATATAATAATCAATAATCACATTTTTATCAAACATTCTTACTGTTTTTGGAAATAACGATATTATATCGAAACAAAACATGTTAGTTACTTCCATAAATTGCTTATATAAATAATTTAGCAAAAAGCTCTAGGAATACCAAATTGGCTGTAAGCCCAACCATCAAATGTAATTGGCCCTTATCTTGTTTGGCCCACATAAATTTATAATATTTATCAAAGTTATCCTTTACAAATGGGTAAATTGCACTTATGTACCATATAGTCTCCCACTTACTGCATTTAAATACCACGAGCTATATTTTGATGTAAAAAAATACTATAAAAATTTTCACTATTTAATTCTAACTAACACGATCAACTTTTAAACAGAAAGACAAAAATACTCTTCCCAAAATTAAACCTCTGAGTCTGACAGTGCATCACGAGACAGGGAAACAACACCTCACCTGTTCCATATTTTGAAGTCCCTATAGCAGCACTCCAACAAGTAAAAATCACTTCAACCCTCTTTTTATCGAAATAAAACATACCTTTCATATATCTCATCAATTCTACCAAAAAAAATCTCATAAAAAAAGATGATCTTTACCAAACCATTTTGATCAACTTAGCATTATCACCAAACAAAATCAACCCCTTAAAAAAAAAAACGAAAGTTAAGATCCAAAACCCAACATTTTCCATCGCCGGGTCACCTCCTTCTCCGGTCCATGGAATACTGCGAAAGGGGCACCACCTCCGACAACGGCGTCGGCATCGGCGAGGTTCTACAGACCGGGCACGATCCACTGAGCTTCAACCAAGCATCAATGCAGACAGAATGGAAGCAATGCTTGCAATCAGGCATCATCCTCATCATCTCCCCTTCTTCATGTGAATGAGAAGTACATGGGACCCACCCATGTGATGTTCTCAAATCTCTTTGCGTGAAGAGAGTTCACGTGACCGCAGAGACCGGCGTAAAAGAAATTGTGGTGGGGGCCAGCGGACACGTGAAGACTTGAGGAGTCCTTTTCTTTGCAAATTCTGGCCCACCCGAAGTCTATTCCTGCGCCTATAAAGAGTGTCTCTAGGGCTTGGTGCAGGTGTGCAGGAGGCGGTGAAAGGTGGATTTTTTGCGGCTGTACAAAGGGTTGGTACAGGAGCTCCTTTTTGCGGTTGATTTGCGTGCAGGAGGAGATTAAGGAAGAAAAAAAGTTGTTTTCTTTTTGGCTGCAGTAACAGGCAGATAGCAAAGTTTCGGCTGCTGTGTAAAGGAAGAAGTTTTCTTTCTTGGGCAGCGTGCAGAGTCGACTTTGAGAGGAGTTTTCTGTGTAATCCTTTTGTGCTTTTGAGAGAGATAGTTGTGTGAGGGTTTAGATTGAGTGATTGTAAACCCTAATTGTGTTCTCCCCCTTTAATAGTAGATCCCCCCTCCTTGCCCCGTGGACGTAGGCAGTTTGCCGAACCACGTAAAAATTGGTTTGTTTGAGTTTGTGGCCATTGTAATAGTTTTAGGATCCCTCGACGCGCAGTCTTAGAGCTGACGAGAGGAAGAGCTAATATCCTACTTTGATAGGATATTAGGCTTTCAGATTCTTGTTCCCTTTGAGAAACAAGAATTCTTATCGATCTTTCTCTCTTATTGTGCACCAGAAACTCTGCCGAAATTTCCGCTGCGCACAACACTTCATACTCACAAAGACAGATGGGGCAAACATTATCTCCCCCTTTCGACGCCGAGTAGGGGAACTTAGGGTACGAGTCGACCGTCGCCGGATCGAGCCCCGAAACCCTAATTGTGTTCTCCCCCTTTAATAGTAGATCCCCCCTCCTTGCCCCGTGGACGTAGGCAGTTTGCCGAACCACGTAAAAATTGGTTTGTTTGAGTTTGTGGCCATTGTAATAGTTTTAGGATCCCTCGACGCGCAGTCTTAGAGCTGACGAGAGGAAGAGCTAATATCCTACTTTGATAGGATATTAGGCTTTCAGATTCTTGTTCCCTTTGAGAAACAAGAATTCTTATCGATCTTTCTCTGTTATTGTGCACCAGAAACTCTGCCGAAATTTCCGCTGCGCACAACAAGTGGTATCAGAGATCGGGCTAGGCTTGGGCTATTTGGAGGAGTAGATCAATTTGGAAGTTCGATTAGGGCTTCGTTTGGTGAGAAAGGTGGGATCTTTTTGGTAAAGACTCTATCTTTTTAGTTTTGGATCTATTCTTCGTTCGTTGGTGCGTAAGATGTCGGGGAAAGAAGGTGCTTCGGGTGTCGAGGGTGGTGCTTCTGGCGCGAAGACCATTCAGAGTTTGAATATCCACTCTATGAAGATAGATGTGGAGAAGTTTAATGGCACAAACAATTTTGGATTATGGAGATGCGAGGTTTTGGATGCGCTGAACGCGCAGAATTTGGAGGATACCTTGGAATTAGATGGCAAGCCAGATGAGATTGAAGAGAAGGTTTGGAAGAAGATGAATCGAACGGCGTGTGGTGTGATTAGGTCTTGTTTGACTCAAGATCTAAAATATGATGTGATGAATGAGACTTCTGCGAAGAAGATTTGGGAGATTCTCGAAAGCAAGTATTTGACCAAGAGTGTGGAAAATCGCTTGCATTTGAAGAGGAGACTTTATCGTTTCCAGTTGAAGAAGGGAACCTCCATTAGAGATCACATGAACCACTACACAAAGCTTCTTGCGGATTTGGCGAATGTGGATGTCAAGATTGAAGATGAGGACAAGGCGTTGCTGTTGTTGAGTTCCTTGCCCGACGAGGAATATGAGACCTTCGTTCTTACTCTGATTAATGGGAAGGCATCACTTTCGTATAGTGAGGTCACCGCTGCACTTGTGAATTATCAGCTTCGAAAGAAGGATAAGGAGGCTTCGGTTGAGCCGGTAGCGGAGGCGTTGGTCGCAAGAGGGAAGGGTCCAAACCGAAAGAATTGGAAGTCACAGTCTAGAGTAGGAAAAGATCAGTGTGCTTGGTGCAAGGAGACTGGTCATTGGAAGAAAGACTGCCCAAAGCTCGACGAATGGATGAAGAATAAGCAGAAGGGAAAAGGGAAGCAACCATCATCAGAAGCAAACATCGTATCGGATGGTAATAATTCTGACTCTTCTATTTATTCGCTTTCTATCAGTCCTACAGATAGCTATTCGGAGGAATCTGAATGGATGTTGGATAGTGGTGCGACCTATCATGTGTGCCCTAGAAGGGAATGGTTCTCCAGTTTTGAGAAGCTGGTGGATAGTGGTGTGGTGTACATGGCTGATAACCGTGCATGCCAGATCCTTGGGATAGGAAGAATTCGCATAAAGATGTTTGACGGGACTGTTAGAGAGTTAAACGATGTGAGATATGTTCCTTCTTTGAGGAAGAACTTGATCTCGATTGGAGCTTTGGTTGGAGAGGGTCTGAAGGTTCGTGTTGAGGACATGGTTCTCGAGATTGCGAGAGACTCTCGTATTTTGATGAAGGGCGTCAGGAGAAATAACCTGTATTACTTGACTGGAGGTATAGTGGCAGGTGGAGAGCTGACGACTTCTGTTGATTCGACTAGACTGCGGCATTTGGGGCTTGGCCATTCCAGTATTGATTCCTCGCATAGATTGAAAGAGGGTGCAAAGACCTGCAGTTTGAAGTCCAGTGAACATGTTGATGTGAGCAAGAAGACCGAGGTGAAGTGTGGCACCTCTATTCACCGTGCTAAGGGTCGTTCTGGAGGAGTTCACGTGGATGTTTGGGGGCCTTCCAAGGGGACATCATTGGGAGGTAATAGGCGTTTGGTTTCCTTTGTTGGTGGCTGTTCTAGGCGTGTTTGGGTTGCAACCAAATCCCCTTTGGAGAAAGTCCTAGTAGTTTCCAACAGATTGAAGAAGTGTGTAATAGACAGAAAGGTGAAGGTACTCCATTCTGGTGGGAGGTACAAGATGGACCTATTTCTGTATTAGAGCCGAGCTCACGGTATTTCGAGACACTTCGTTG